AATTCTTTTCTTTTTCACTCCTTCATTTTTTCTCCCTTTCTTTCCCTCGTAGCTATCGCAAGAAACGGTGGCATTGTAGTGGCAATGCATCGAAAACCGCGTATAATATCTGTTTGGAGGGGGGACGGGACCAACCCTTAAACGCGGAGGAGAGACTAAAAATGCGCGAGCGACTTTCATTTTCTCGATGTTCCTGCCCCTCCTAGTAGGCTTAGTCTCAGAAAATGCCCCGTATCTTACGATAGCTCCTTCCCTCTTTCATCCACTGTATGCAGAACCAGCAGCCATTCTTGCTTGCTCGCATCAGCTGTGAAGGAGGGACTCCACTGTTTTCCGTCATATCCAATATTGACGTTTCTCCCACACATTATTTTGGTTTACACAGGCAGCCGGCATGTACCCCTCTCCAAGCTGAGCAACCTTTTAGAGCGTTTTTAGTAGGTTTCAATAACAGTTGTTAGTCTCTTCAAGCCTTACGAAGTGATCTACTTTCTTTCAAAAATAGCAATTCTTCAATAGTTCCACTGAACCACAGACAAGCCCCGCCTGGTGAAAGAGTATAGCTTTTAAGAAAAGAGTATTATAATAGCTAGGTGGCTGCTATACAAAAAACGAAGCATTTAACGTTAACCGGTCCTTCTGGGATGTGCCACGCAGTCTACGTCCAGTCACAATCGTAGTGTCGCCTTAAATACCGTGTGGCCAATACAGTGTCTTGCTGGGAACAGCCGATGAACAAGTCAGAGTTTTATCCTTCGAAACAAGTCTTCTACCAATCCTTCGACCGACCGGAATGATAAGGTCCAGTTAGCCTGCACGGCGAACGATTTAGGATTGGATCGTCAGAATCCTTAGACCGCGCGCGAGTTTATGACGCCACTTGCTACTACACCGCTTTTCATTGCTGACAAGGGTATTTTAAAGCTAAGTGACCCCAGCGATGATTCTGAAGATTCCTAAACACATTTTAATTCCCCCAAAAATAGGGTTGAAGGTCCGGCTCATCATAAGTATTCCAAGTTCTAGGTAAAACACTTTGTCACGTCTCTTAAGCAAACGGGGATTTCGCGTTTCCCGGACGCCTCCAGAAGGGCGACGCCGTGCCTTCATACGAGCTAATGGAGTTAGCTTTCCACTGGCTATTCAGCTGCTTTCATATTATTTCATGATGACGACACAATAAAAAATTTTGATAGCAAATTTTGAAAGCATTCATTCACAGGCTGGTTACATCACTGAAAAATTTTTGTCGCAAAAGTGACTTTCTTTGAATTTACTCCGGAAAGAGCTCGTTTCTGGAGTGAAGCTTCAGAGCTTCCGCAGACGTTTTTGGCGCTCTTGAAAAAGACCTTTTGCCTTATTTGCCTTTTATTCTTATATCGAACTCAAAATAATAACTTTGAAGATTTGTTCTCTAGCAGATGTCTGAGGAAATGAATTCAACGGTTGAAAGTTCACAGCTAATAATTGACGATAGGATGCAAGCCAAAAGGATGCGTTTCACTACTGGAAGCTGTATAGAAATCGAGTAATAATAGAAACATGAATCCGTGTTAATTTCGGTTTTTTTTTCATCAGGCGTGATGACTATTGCAATTGAAATATTGAAATAAGAACAAAAAATAAATGAAAAATAAACCGCCTAATCTATGAAGAATAAGAAAATCTTGAGCATGCAAAGAAAAGGAGTTCAAGTCGGCACGATTTTTGCACTGAGCACTGTTCTTCTTTGAAGTTTTCAGCTATCAGTGATTTTCGAGTTCACACTCTAGACGCGAAGGACTGTCATTCCTTAAATGGAATAGTCAATAGTGAATCTGTTTCAGCAACATCCATGGGCTTCGTCGGAATTGTAAGCCTTACTAGCGAATTACACAAATATGTATATTTACTTCAAAGACAACTATTCACAGTTATTTTTTATTATTCAGCGAACAAGAATAAGCAGCGCAGCAGGGAAGATTTGTTGTCGTTTCATATGGATCATAGGAAAATTGT